TCAGGACGTCTTGTTCTACCATAATCCGCTATCAAACCTTTTCTGACCCGTGGGTTGAAGGAAACGACAATTTTCCGACCTCAGCGTACTGGACTATCCGCCAGATTGCAAATCCAGCGCTCTAACCACTCAGACACGTTGCCTCCACGCGGTCTCCCGACAGTAAATTGTCAGCCCCGCTACTCGCAATTCTTGTTTTGATCTGAACATGCCAACAATTCAAGCTTTGCAAGCAAAGGCAGAAGAGGCGTTGGGCAAAGACTTGTCACAAAGAGAGAAAAGTGAAAACGAAAATGAAAGTGACTCTGAGGATGAATACTCTAATGAAAGTTCGGGTAGAGATGATAACTGTGCGGGTAATGCCGATGAAAATGATGTTTCCACGTCCGAGTGCATTTCAACAAGACATGTTTTTTTCTATAATCAGAGGCAAAATCGAACACGATTGGCGGGGAAAATGCAGAAAAACAATGTCTTTAAACCACAACTGCTAGAAATGAAACTGAATTGGATTCATATTATAACTAGTAGTATGTGGGTTCAAATGCATACGTTTACGTTAGCAATTACTGTCTTTTTCAGTTCCTGATGCCTTTCGCAAGGGCTAACCTTTTTTGAGTAATAAACAGTTTCCGAGAAAAATCCTTCGAAAATGTACCTTTACATTTGGAAGAAATAGTTAACCTTGTTGCTATTATTGTCATTTTTTCTAACTCTACCTTAGACTAAGACATTTTTTTATCGTCCATTAATGCGCACAGTCTGTAGCGCGTGTATAAAGGGACAGTAAGACTAGGGAGAAGGTTCGCGCGTTTCACACGCGTAAATCTATACATTTCGCGCTCTTATGTCTTTATGACTCAGTAACGAGAGGGAATCCAACTGGTTTGAACTCTAACTCTACTTTGACTGTAATAAAACTACCGTCAACAATTTTGAAAGTGGTTCCTTACGCGCGGTTCAAAGGTCGCATCATATGTTCCGAAACTAATGTAAATGAGTGAGAACAATAGATTTTTCTCATAAGCATTAAAGTCGGTACATGTCGATACGTCGGACGAAAGTTAATCAAAGTGGAATGGTTGTTACACCCTTTTTTTAGTTTTCTGTTAGCTTTTTTGGACCTGACCGTGCACAACGTTCAATAGCATTCCTATCATTTTGAAGTTATTGACCAATAGAAACATTGCATTAATTTATTCAGTCATAATTTGTGAACCGGAAACAAAGCATTGTTCACGGTCAGGGAGCTTCCAACATAACCTACAGCACCATTGTTTTCAACTTTGATGCTTGCCGGGTTTCCTAACCAGTCTCCTCTACCTAACTGTGGTCGGACGTTTGAATCCAACTGGTTTGAGCTCTAACTCTACTTTGACCGTAATAAAACTCCCGTCAATAATTCACGATACCCTTACAATTTAAAAATTGTTCCTTACGCCCGGTTCAAAGGTCGCATCATATGTGGTGAATCTAATGTAAATGAGTGAAACCAATAGATTTTCCTCATTAGCATTAAAGTCGGTACATGTCGATACGTCGGACGTTTGAACCTGGCCTTAGTTGCTACAGGTGCGTAAGGTTCATACGAGGTAGCCTGCGAGCAAGCTCTCCTATTTGGGTAAGCGAAGTGAGCCTCGCGAGAACGCGCGAGCGAGGGGGCCAAGGAAAGGAGAGCTTGCAACCATCTCTCATAAATTTTCATTTCCACCCCGGAAACCCCGGGACTCCGCAAAGCGTGAAAACTGTCACCGCAAACGTGCCGCAGATTAGAAAAGTGACAACCGACAGGCGAGGACGCGTAGAATTATTTATTTATTTATAAATCGCTTTCGCAACAGCATCAAAGCAATGTTTTTATATGTCTTCTTTCCACGGGGACATCGAACTTCAACGTGTCCGCTCGGATAAGAACTCACTAATTTGATTCTCGTTTCGTTTACTTTTGAAAAGTCATCCCTACTGCAGTGTAGAAGACTACTCCCCATCGCAATCACCAACAAAAACATCATATATTTGTCCGTCTGGAACTGGAGAATAGCGTTTTCCTGCACTTGGTTCTCTTAAGCTTTACTCCAGTTGCTTCCAACTCTTTCTCTTTTCCTTCTTTACGGTCACGCTACACAGTTACACTGTCAAGTACATGTGTCTGAATTTTTCTACCCAGTAGAATTCAACCGGGCGAAGAAACCGATGTTGGAAAACAGCGCTTGAATCACTCTTCACTTTCACTCTCCCGGTTTTCAGAACTAAACAAGGTGCTTGACACAAACGAATACAACTCAGTGATGAAGGGTTTTCATTTTCCTTCCACAAGAACTACAAACTCGATCCGACTTATCCTCGGCTCGCAATATTCTCTTTACGAGAATTACATCAAACGAGCCCGTCTGCTTTGAGGGCTGAAACAAGTTCTCGGTACCAATCTGATCCCCCTGAGAACCAAATTTGACACACAGACGAAGCGGGTGCCAGCTTAGCCTGTTATCAATCAACTTTGATTTCCGGAACGTCATTTTTCAGCCAATGGTATTTCCCTTCGTCTGGGCGAAGTACAAATGAAAATTTGTAAGGGATGGTTGCAAGCTCTCCTTTCGCCGGCCCCTCGCGGCTTCGCCGCTCGCTCGCGCGTTCTCGCGAGACTCGCTTCACTCGCCCAAATAGGAGAGCTTGCTCGCAGGCTACATACGAGGGCGAAGGAGATACATGTACGGACTAATTTATTTCAAAATGGTTCTTAATAATAAGGCATTAATTCCTGGCTTAAACAGCGTCTAAACGTATTCTTTTAAGACTAAACTTTGATCATCTATAGGCAGTGAGTATATTAAAACAAAACATGAAGTTTAAAGGTTCAGTTCCCTGAAGGATTCTGTTAAATAGTATGTAGCCGGGAAACCGTAAGCTTCAATGAGTATGTCTCCACGTTCGGAGTCCTCCTCTTTTTCTTTGCTTCTTTGCGAAGAAGCCATCTTCGACTCGAGATACTCCTCAATCTCCAATTCTTCATTCAAGTGAGCTAACTCAGCAGCAGTCTTTTCATCGGTTGTGACGATATTAACGTCACCTTCGAGATCAACAAGTTGTTTCACGATTTTCAGATTACTATGGATCGCTGCCATGTGCAAGGGAGTGAACCCTTCAGCGTCCTGGGCGTTGACATTCGCCCCGGACTTAACCAAAAGATCGATTATCTCCGGTTCGTTGACTTGTTTGCTTGCAATGTGAAGAACGGTCGTATCAGCTGTTTCTTTAAACATGGACTCATGCTTCTTTTGAAGCTTGTTACCTGTGCCTTCTGGAGGATCCTTTCCCCAACCACTCCCAAGAACATCTCCAAAATCTGCCACGTCAAGACTGCCTCCTTTCGCTCGCTTCAGAAATAAACCCAACAACTGTTTCTTCACCAGGACATAGTGCCAAGCTGCTCCACCTCTGTCTTTCCCACAAACAAGGTAAAATCTTTCTGTGGAGTTTTCCTTGTATACAATACTTACATCAGCCTTGTTTTCAATCAAGAGTTTGATGAGCTGTTCATGTTTGTTCGCTACACCAAGAAAAAGAGGGGTTCTTCCTTCTTTATTTTGAAGGTTGACGTTGCTTCCCTTTTGAACCAGAAGCTTGGTAATATCAAAAAATCCGTTGCTGACAGCTGTGTGCAGTGGTGAATTGCCATCAGCATTTTGAACATTTACTAACGCGTCCTTTTCCAGAAATAATTTGACAAGGTTTTGGTTACCCTTCATCACTGCCCGGTGCAGTGGAGTATATCCATCAGCTACAGCCGTATCAGCATCAGCTCCATGATCCAAAAGCAAGTTCACTGTCATGAAGTTGTTCCAATTAGCAGATAAGAACAAAGGTGTAACTTTGTCATCGGTTCTTTGAGCATTAACGTTAGCACCAAGGTCGATAAGGGTCTTAATAAACTCACCAGAAGATGAAAGACTCGCCCACAACAAAGGTGTGCGATTGCACAATGCAGGGGTGTTTATATCCAGGCCATCATTTAATACAAGCTCTATCGCCTTCTCCGCATCATTACCGCATTTACACTGGTGCAGCTCTGACAGTGAATTGACTATATCCACTGATTCTCGGTTAAAACGTTCGATTTTGTGATGACCAGGCCTTTTGGTTTCAAGATTTGCGAGAGTATCAGTTGTAGCTGCTGTTATTATTTCCAAAGAACTGAGTTGCCCGTGCGCCTTGAAAAAAAAGTCGTAATTCCCTTCAACGACAGCCGCTGTGAGCATGTTAAATCCCGATCGAATATCCACATGCAAGAATGCCTTTTTTGTAAGTGACTTTAAACTTAACTGTAATAAAGAAGTTAAGGCGAGTCAGTGTACTTAACAGATCTGGAATCTGAATCTAAGTGAGGTGACAAAAATACAACAATTATAATTTTTCTGTAGCAGCAAAATAAAAATGAAACATTTACAGAACACGACCGATGCTCGGAATACATCAACATCCATTGTTAGTTTAATGATGTTTACAAAATTGTGACCATAACAAAGGATGTTGCATAAAGTGAGAATAATAACTAGTTAAAAGTATTATTATAGAGCGATTCTACTTGACCCGTGCAAAAAAGCTACAAATAAACAAAAGAAGACAGTAGAATTTCTGCATAATAGTGCGTAGTGTTCTACCACCTGTTTCACGGGGTAAGTAGAATCACTCTTGTAGGAATACGTGAGGTAATATAATGCCTTTTGCGGGTGCGAAGTAGAGATAAAAGACAGAGAAAATGAAATAGGAGTGTTCACGTAATATGTTTGAGTTGTCTATTTACGAAAATTAGATCGTAATCCTATCTAATGAGAAGTGACTCTTTGATCTATAAATAGTGAAGAAAAGTACGCGAGTGAAATATTTTCAACACGAGAAGAGAAATTTCGTATCTTCAAGCGACCATGTAATTTTCTTTTTATTATGTAAAACCCTCCCAATACAACAAATACTTAGCCACAAAAAGTCTATGATGGCTTGAGAGCATTCCAAGGCATTTGGAAGCATACAGTTTTTCAATTTCCTCGTCTTTTAGGCTATCTGATCTCCTAGGCTTGTTTCCCAATCCTTTAGCTTTTGGTTTCTGTTGTTTTGCTTTGAGAGTAGCCACAGTGTGGTAGTTTTAAACACACAACGTCAATACAAAATGTGAAGACATAGTTCAGATATCTCTGGATGCTTGAAAGTAATCCTCTCAAACTTGTGGGTTCCTATTAGTCGGAGCCATCTTTCTTTTCGAACGCCAATTAAAAATGCATTTCGAAAGGTGCTCGTCGATCCGCTCATGAAGAGATGTTGAATCAAGCAAGTCAGAGTTTGATGTCTGAAAGAAATTATTCTGAATAACTCGACTTCGTACACAGTCTTCCACTTTGTGTTCGGATTTTTTTTTTCTTATGCGAATTCAGCTCCTCATTTGTGATCTCGACAAACCTGCTTGTCTCTATTTTATAACAAACTCAAAACTTATTAAACTTCGACTCGCGAATTCGAAAGGACTAACGCAAAAATTCCGAAAAGACCAAACGACGGAAAACCACAAGTGCTTGACAGCGAGCGAAAATACTGCGTGAGCTGATTGGTTTAAAGTGATATCACACATGTGTGGATATAAATGATATTACCGCTGGCGGGATAGCGCATTTATCGCCTCCTACCACTCGGTATGACACTAAATTTTACATAATAAAGTTAGTCATCAAACTTCATATATGGTCACAATTCTGTGAAATGGCGATGGATACTGATGTATCCAAAACAAGNAAACTCAAAACTTATTAAACTTCGACTCGCGAATTCGAAAGGACTAACGCAAAAATTCCGAAAAGACCAAACGACGGAAAACCACAAGTGCTTGACAGCGAGCGAAAATACTGCGTGAGCTGATTGGTTTAAAGTGATATCACACATGTGTGGATATAAATGATATTACCGCTGGCGGGATAGCGCATTTATCGCCTCCTACCACTCGGTATGACACTAAATTTTACATAATAAAGTTAGTCATCAAACTTCATATATGGTCACAATTCTGTGAAATGGCGATGGATACTGATGTATCCAAAACAAGCCGTATTCTTTAAATGTTTAATTTACCCTTTACTTTCAAAATCAAACTAAGTACTTGAATGTGTCTCGCTATTATTCTTTTTACTTTGTAAAGCCAATCATGACATAACCAGATATATCAAAGGGTGCCTAAGGCTAACTTGTGGATTATTAATTACTGTATTTTAGAAATGAAAGCTGATAATGAACCTGCAATTAGTCTAACGGTATATTTTACGTCTGTAAAAACTGAAAATTGTTTTTCGATAAAAAAAAAGAAAGAAAAAAGAAAAAAAACGACGGTGGGAGCCGAACCCCGGACTTTCTTTTTTTCCTCGAGGGAGAGAGGTTGATCTACACAACATCGGAGCAACATCGATCATCATGTGAGTACATGAACGAAGATCTACAATAAATTTAAAGGACACAAAAAGGAAAAGGCATAAAAAAACGAATTAGACAAGCAGCGACATGTCAGCTTAAAATGATTCTCCTCAGTAAAATACCGCCCTTTTATACTTGAGTCTCTGTGACAGCTGTCAATGAGTTGAAACCGTGAAAACAATAATTTGCTGCTATTCTTAGAATTGCAGCAAATAACAAATATCTTACCGGTTGTTGGTAACTCGGCCTCGCATTACTGTTCATGAGCAACTGCACTATGTAGTTATGATTGTGGCGTTCCGCTTTTTGCAGAGGGGTACGTTGAAACTAGAAAAAGCAATGCAAATTGTACTTGCTACCAATATCATGGTTATTTATGTATTATTTAAAACACGCAAGAAAACGAAGGACGAGCGTCATTAAACAACTAACACAGGCAACTTAATTAATATTAAAAATAAAGCCAGTTTAATAGTTTTCCTAATGTGAAGCCAGATTACCATTAAAAGTGTTTCACTCTTGTGAAAATTAATCCCCAAACACACTTTGGGCTTAAAGTATTTCTTTTTCCAAATCTTTCACTTTTTAAATATAACTTTCATGCATTAAAAGAGAAGAGTTATAACCAGCATTTGAGATGTAACGCACAGTTACAAACTGCGTCTTAACCAGGCAAACCAGAGTTGTTATAAAAGCTCACTTTCACATTGTAATGGGCTAAAGAGAGCCAATATGTGTGACCTCAATTAACAAATCTTAAATCTTGCTCTTCAAGGCCACAAACGTTTAAGCATCGACTGAACTCACCCTGTCTTCAGCGTTGACGTTCACACCGTATTCTAACAAGAGTTTGACCACAGATTCCTGTCCATACCAACAGGCAAGATGAAGAGGTGTTAAAGAAAACTAACAAAAAGATAAACAGAGCAGGTTAAGAAGGTTGAAAAGGGGAACTAGCAAAATTATGGGACATTATTGAGAACTCAGTTTTATAGACTAAGCTTAAAGCTATCTTATTACACCCTTATCTATTTTCATCCTTTCTAGGGTCAACCAACAGACAACCGCAACTCTGACAAATCAATTTTGAAACTGAAATTTGCAGTCTACAGCCAAAAACGCTACAGTTGTTTAAGAATTAAAAGTAAGTTTCCCTCAGAAAAAGTTTAAGATCTCGACTCGATTAACACTAATATCGCACGAAGCAAGAGCGAGGTGTCGAAGTGGGACCAGAAAATCATACCGCATGAACAGGCTTGTTCAGCTTAAGTCCATATTACCCTTTTAAGTGATCTAGCTGGCTGGATAACAAAAAAGACTGAAATAAAACCTGATCTCTTTGATCCACATCTTCACCACCTTCAAGAAGAATTTTGACCGTCTCGTATTGTCCACTAATAGCAGCCTTGTGTAGAGGCCCTCTTGACGCCTGTTTTTTTTTTTTTTTTCAGAAGGTGAATAACATATTCATCAGTCTACATACCTTGCATTTATTGATTACATTAATTTATGTTATAACAGATCTGACAAGCCTCTTCTAGGCCTAACTCGTGTCAAAAACAAACAACCATGAATTCGAGAAACATAGGTTTTGTATTAAGGTTCTCGTTCATCGTACCTACGCCTTGTGTCTGTGTTGGCCCTCGCTTTTGTGGTGTCCCCGCCTGTATGCTTGTGTATTCATGTATGATATATATCAGTTTAACTTTTGTAGTGTGACTTACCTTTAGTTATTGTTTATCTTATTGTTTTGGAGAAAGTTAATAAATTGTAAGGACAAAAACGCTCAACATTAAGTAATAATCGATTATCGAACGAGGTTTTTGTGATATCCGCAATAATCAAGGTCGAGGTAAGTGTTATCAGCCGAGCCGAAGGCCGAGGCTGGTAACACTTACCGAGNTTTTTTTTTTTTTTTTCAGAAGGTGAATAACATATTCATCAGTCTACATACCTTGCATTTATTGATTACATTAATTTATGTTATAACAGATCTGACAAGCCTCTTCTAGGCCTAACTCGTGTCAAAAACAAACAACCATGAATTCGAGAAACATAGGTTTTGTATTAAGGTTCTCGTTCATCGTACCTACGCCTTGTGTCTGTGTTGGCCCTCGCTTTTGTGGTGTCCCCGCCTGTATGCTTGTGTATTCATGTATGATATATATCAGTTTAACTTTTGTAGTGTGACTTACCTTTAGTTATTGTTTATCTTATTGTTTTGGAGAAAGTTAATAAATTGTAAGGACAAAAACGCTCAACATTAAGTAATAATCGATTATCGAACGAGGTTTTTGTGATATCCGCAATAATCAAGGTCGAGGTAAGTGTTATCAGCCGAGCCGAAGGCCGAGGCTGGTAACACTTACCGAGACCTTGATTATTTAGGATATGACAAAAACCTAATAATAATATTGTGTTTTTAATACATCGTTTTGAAGAAAATAACGACAAATACTTCATCGCAAGAAACTTGAATTAATACTGTTATTGGAAATCATGCACTGTGCGCGCAACCTACAGATTAACTAGGTTGCGCTGATTTGCAAAATTTGCTGCAGGTTCTTAGCCAGTGAGAAGACAGATAGTGGGTACAATGTATAATAATGGCTTTTACGCGCGGGGAAGTTCAACATTTCTGAAAAGCCGAGGTTTATAAGTTCATACGCGCGCAGCACGTGGATTGAGGGTGGACACGAATTTCTAGATCAACCTTAAGTGTCACCTCGAACAATATGGCCACTGTTGAAATTTCCGTGGGCGAACCTACAGACTTGCCAATCCTCAAATCCCGACTTTTACCCAGCCTCATGCAGCCAGCACAAATACTGGAGACACTAATAACACATCAATCCTGTGAAAAGTCCCCTCATGTCGTCCTACTATAAGGGCGCTCGCCGTTGTATACAGTAAAATCACAATGTTGCCAATCATAATTAAGGCTGTGCTATGAGAAAATCGTTAATAATATGCAATTTCTAAATCTTTCATTGATTAAAGTTTTCATATTTGTTTTCCCTTGATTAAACGGACCACGTGCGCACACTACAATACAGATTCCATTCAACTTACTTTTGCTCTCTCAGCTCTCTCCATATGGGTCAGGACCTGTGTCTTACCCTAGGATGATTAAACAAATCTGTTATGCTTTCAAAACATTTCACCGTTTTTGAGTGGCTTTAATCTCCTGGCTAATTCTTCAAAACCAGCTGGCGCTGACCAAATTTAGAAGATGCAAGCAATATACGACATATAACTCATAACGTACAATCACGGGCAGCACTAAAACATGGAATAAGATTTAGAGTCAGAACTGTTAAGATTCGACAATTTTCGAAAAGTAAGAAGAGACTTCAGAGTATTTAAAACAAGGCTTTTCCTATTTACTTGACCTCAGTTGCTATTCATTAATGCGTTATTAACAAGAAAAACTATCCTACCTTAAGTACACCTGAGCTTGTGTCGATCCGTAAAGAGTCCTCTCTTTCTTGATCTGATTCAGTTGACGGTGAAAAGCCACTGCTGCTTGTTAACACTGCTAACACACAATGAGATAAAGCTAGTTATTCCGTTCGTCAAAGCGCATCCTAATCTCGGTGTTCCTGTAGTACAAAGCCACACATTTTCGAGGTATCGCGGGCGACTGCCGAATTTCGTTTCCGTGAGTGACGAACGCGGATCCGTAATCAATGATTACCTCTAGTCTACCATACTTTCCTCACGTATTTTCAATCTTTCAGGTAATAAGTACCAGCTGTTTCAGAATTGTAATCACATGTAATCTCAGAAGCATCAGCCTCATTCTCACTCATGCTGGACCCTCAATTATAAAACACTCCACAATGGCCACCAAACCCTGTCTCTTTTCACCCTGGCCAAGTTGTTCGAAGGCTGATTAGCGCTAACCCGGGTTTAATTTTAATCCGAGTTTCTTTTTCTTTCGTTCAAAAGCATTTCGTCGGATAGTTTTTGCTATTCATTTCAGCGTATCCAATCATCAAATTGCAAACGAAAAGAATAAGAATGAACTTGTTTTTTAAGCTTTTACATCCGAGTTCAAATTTCGCACTAAGCCTGGGTGATCCTAACCCAGCTTTGAACAACCCTGCCTTGGATGGATCTTAAACAGGAAGTTCAGTGAAGAATGTGCCCCCGTCAATTTTGACCCACCGTACTGAGTAAATGATACTAATCAATTTGTTGTAGATAAATCTGTAATTTAAACTGTAAGAGAACTCTCAAACTTACATGACTTTTCCATTAGGATCTTCATGCAATTCCGGTAGTTTTCATCTTCAATTGTTGTCTTTAACCTGACAGTCTCCAAGTTCAGCTTCTCCTTTATGTCATTGGTCACAAGATATTTCTCAGCAATCTCATTAAGGTAACCTGACTGATAGTCACTCCACAAATGCTCAAGGCTCTCCAGGGTGGGGCATCGAAATTTTAATTCTAGAGAACCTACACCCACGGATTCCAAGGCCAAGTTGTACGTTTTGTGTATATGTTCAATCAGAGCAGACACTCCATCAGGAGTTGCAACCTTGCGATTCTTGATGAACACTTGTATGTGATGTGATAGAATGTCATGGACTGTTTCTTCCTGTTCATTACTCAGGTCCTGGTAACTGTGCTTGATAACGATGTCTGGAAATAAAAACGACACCACTGAAGAACGTACTATCAAAATTCCGGTAGAATCCCATTCGGGTCTAATAAAACGCTAAAATTCGGAGGAAAAAGAGCAAACAGTACTGAAACATCTCTGTCAAAAAAGCACCTTTGTGAAATCTAACAAATCACCCCACCCTTCAGAGTCATGTGAGTGAGCAGTAGAGAGAAAAAAAATTTCATACCTGGGTCACGGGAAGATCCTGAAAGTTTACGCTTACGGCTATTTTGAGACTGAGAGCCTGTATTTGTGGATATTTCGGTTTGATTTTCTGATGTAGCATCAATTTTCTTTTCAGAGTTACTACCAGGGGACCTTTCCGAAACAAGCCGATCATCATCAGTAGGAGCGTTTGTTCTTGGGTTTTTGTTTTCTTCCACAGAGGATCCTGTGAAAACAAACTTTCGTTAATATGAACTTAGTATGTGGTCTCGCTCTCCATGAGTTCTAGTGGATAGAGCGCCCGCCCGGTGTTTGGGTGTTTGGGAGGTCATAGGTTCGAAGCCTGTCAGGGACTCAGATTTTTTCTTTGTCCCACGCTCGTGATCATGACATGCTTATCATTTCATTTTCACATTTCAAACATTCGTTATGACGGCAATTAAACATTATTAAACTTATTACAGGAAATCAGGTTGATGTTCAATGAAAAAAATAGGCTTTTAAGATACAAGGCGTTTTAATTTTAGCTTAAATCAAAGCAAGAATAACTTTTTTGTAGGAATTCTTGAGAAACTTTATAGCCAAGTATTTCGTCTATAATGTTGTTGCTCATGTTGAATGCACATAGTGTTCTCTACGGCTTATTCCAAAGATTTTTACCTCCCATTTAAAAATTTAGCGATAACTATAATTAAGCTCAACAGAGGGTAGTACCTCAATTACCTAAAGTACTTTTCGGCGACCTGCGTCCAAGACCTTAAGGGAGTCTATTAAGACAAGTATTGACCATCCTGTGCCACGATAAGGTACAACGAACTAAATTATCTTACCATTATTACATGTACTAAAAATGTCCAAACATAAGCCAGTATATAGTTCAAACATACCATGGATCATTTTCCACATCCTCTCCACAAGGGCGTCACATTGCTTTCTCCAACTGTATACCTCTCCATAGGATGCTTTCAGAGCTTTGATCTCTCTAAGCCGCATTCCATGTCTGACACGAACAACTTCAATTGCCTCTGCCCACTTTGCAGGATCATCTGAATACACGATGCATGAATAACCATTAGGAACATTTTCTAATGCTTTGGCAAATCCTGACCTACTGCCCACAAGAATGGGGAGGCCTGCAGATAAGGCTTCAAGCGCGACAAGACCAAATCCCTCTGATTTTGATGGCATGATGGCAAGATCAACTTCGCACAGTAAATCCTTTAGACTATCCCTGTTTTCTATAAATGTTCTAACAATAAGCTGTTCTTTAGCAATACCACATTGCAAAAGTCTTTCTTTAAACTCCTCTTGCTCTTCATTTTCTTTAGGGGCACCGACAAAGATCAGTTGATAAGGTTTCTTTTCCAACCGTGGGTCAATAAATGTTTTAGCAGCAATGCTGTACCCTTTAAGCTCAAAATCTTCCTTATCGCCACGACCAAAAATTAACACTTTAAAATCTGCATTGTTATTGACATCTTGTTCCAAATCCCCAAATTCCCTTTCAAAAAGTCCTGGAGTGAATGAAAGCACATCCATTTCCTTTTTGTAGCGTTGTAAATATGAAGAGTAAAATTCTGTCAGTCGGGGTCCAACAGGCATGACAAGATCAGCACGCTTACAAAGGTCAACTTCAACTTGATGTTTTCGTTCACCTTTAGAAGTAGGATTAGTGTAGTCTTTGAATTTTCCAAGGTCTTCTGGGGCAATATGTACAACTTGTACCCACTTACAATTCTTAAATTCCGCACAATTTCGTATTCCTTGGACTTGCCGGCCAAGTTTCTTACCATGCCCAATGATGACATCGATGCTGAGGTCATTAGGTGGGGATATTAACCAGTCAAGGGGATCATACCCTGTTTGTTCCTTTGCTTCAACGATGGTAATTCCATAGCTTCCAGCTTCTCTTTTCTCATCATCTTTACAAACTCCTTCAGGAACTAACAATGTCACTTCCACTTTGGGATGTTTTGAAAGGTAAATTGCAAGTTCTCTGTTTAATGTTGACAAACCACCTTCTGAGGAATTCCACTCACTTCCCAGAAGGGTAACTTTAAGTACTGACCTGGCAGAAAAACCGTCACTT